TTAACAAAGCGGTAGCTGTTTATTTTTTAAATATATTCTTGAATGACAAACGGAAGTTTATCTAATGTTTTTCTACGGTGGACATATCTGTAAAGTGTACTTGAGGAATGTGAGCGCCTTTTCATAACATTTTTAATTACTCAGTATAATTAAAAATTATCTTATCAAGTGATGATAACACCATCACTTGATAAAACACTGGAGGTGTTGAAACAAAATGGCTATTTTTGTAGTGATTTTATAACATATTTATGTTATAATTTTTAAATAAATAATTATATCTGCTCTACTCTGTATTGAGCACTCTTTTAAGAATAGTAATTGTTGGTTATTGGAATTTATTCCGTATACACCAATCCTATACTTGGAGATATATATATATATATGGTATCAAATGACAATTGGAAAAAATCATACATTTTGCCGACGTGTTTCGTCTTCCAACTTTTTCAAGGCAAAAATGAAATCGAAATGTTTTTGCTGTTATAGTTACATTAAAATTCAAAATTAAAAAGATAATGTAACTATAACAGCAAAAACATTTCGATTTCATTTTTGCCTTGAAAAAGTCGGAAGACGAAACGCGTCGGCAAATGTACGATTTTTTTTCCAATTGTCATTTGATACCAATCTGTCTTTGTCCACAGAATTCATCTGGGAATTTAACTATATATATATATATATATATATATATATATATATATATATATATATATTCCCAATAGGATAGAATTCAGGTAGAACTCAATGTCCAGGACAGAGTAAGAATATAATAAAAGGCTCAAACACTAATATTCCATGGTTATAATTTATTACATTGGAATCGTAATCACGATCCATATTTTCTGATTTCTTTTTTGATCATGATTACGGTTCCAATGTAATAAATTATAACCATGGAATATTTGTGTTTGAGCCTTTTATATATATATATATATATATATATGTGTGTGTGTGTGTGGAATTTGGGTAATTGCAATAGAATTTAATGAACAAATCTTCAATTTTGCTAATAATTGTTATAAAAGGCTTTATTTTACGGAAGATAACGAGGACTACACCATTTCAAAATATGACCTGGAGTAGATTATTGAGATATGGATTTATTTTATACATTAAACCAGTGATTCTTAACCACCATGCCGCCTCCCACTAGTTTGCCGTACGATCCTATTAAGTGTGCCGCGAAATATTGTCACCGAAAAGTATGATTGGATTCGAAATCCCTTATAAATGTTCCTTCTAATATTTGACTTTATTTATGTGAAGAAGAAAAATTGGCCACCATTTTTCTAGCGATCGAAGGCTCAAAATAAAACATTCGACGGTGCCCAATGATACATTTTGGAACTTGCGAACTTTTGTTCCAATTTAATATTTTTAGATATTTATTAAGCTAAATAAATATTTACAGACATACATCGGGCGGTTATTAACTGTGTCTTCGTGAGAGACAAGATCAGTTATTCACGATCCAGGGGGTTGGTTACGTGTCTATAGAGACGCTGTCGATTCTAAAGGACGCCGTAAATGTTCAGAAGTACTAGGTTCTCGGATTAGGCGTTTATATATTGTCTGATAAAATACGACACCTTCGATCATCCAGCACGGTTGCCGCTGCTCTATTTTTGCCATAGTTTACTTCCAGGACCGTTCTGGGTATGACTATAAACTACATCCGCGTCCTGGGTAAGATGATAAACAACGTCCAACAGCAAGGCCTCTGATCAGGATGTTTTGAGGAGCGAGGAACTACCTCATAATTGCTGATGTTCCAAGGTCCACCCCGACCCCGGGTAGTAGCACTTGTTAGGGTGCCAGCTATGGGCAAATAGTTAACACCGAAACTCTAGTCAAAACACTATGAAAGTGTAAAAATAGGTTTTAATACCAGAAATACTTTGTAAAAAAATATTACCAGCAATACATTTTTGGAAAACAAATATTACCAACGAAGGAAAATATATTACCAGAAGTAGATTTTTGTAAAAAAAAATATTACCAACAATGAAAATTTTTGTCGGCATTAAATAACCCATTGAGGTTGATATGCCGTAAAACAAAACAATCCAAACCAAATCATTTCCAGGACTTGTCGCTGCTATAATGTAAACGCGTAATATTAGCTCATTTGCATTAACTCTGCTCCATTTACCAGTGCAGGTTTAACATAGTGGGCGCCAACTGATGCAAATATCTGATAAGGGGCCCCAGAGAAGAAAAGGTTATGAACCTGTAATGGAAAGGGTTACCAATTGTAAAGACATTGGGTTTGAGTGTGTTAATAATTTCAAAATGAATGAATTTAAAACGTACATAGATTTTTTTTTAAAATATATTTACAGGATTAGGTTTAACTTAGCTTAGAAAATATAGTTATATTCGTGATGCACCACGTGGTGGGTTGAGATTGGATATTGTTTTGCTTGGAGAAATGGTGAAAATGTGGCACTTCTTGTCGCTACGACGTCCTTTAGTTGAAGAGGTGGGTGTTCAATCATTCCAGTTTATATTGTTTTATACTAGCTGGCGTTAAGACAAGGTGAAGTAATCTCACAAATCACTGGACTAGACGAAGTTAATATCTTCATATTCTGAAGTCTTCTTGCCTCAACTACCGAGAAAGGTGATTTCATTTGCGAGGTGAAAGACTTGTACAACAAAATGTAAAACTTGGTTTATGTTTCTTTACAATTAGAAAAAAAAATTGGCAAAAGATGGTTGATTTTAAAAATACAAAAAATTGTATGAGTTTAAAGTTGAAGTTTCGCTGACCATATGAAATGTGAGCAAGTATATTGATTTGGTGAAATAATATACGTTATATGAGCTTTTCCTGGTGTTTACAAACAACTAATTTGATAAGGAAGCATCGTATTACTGTATTGACATTTTGAAATTAAGTCGATCAACACTTCCTTTCAAACATAAATTAACTAAACGAATTAGTGTTTGGCTTCTACGTGCCGCGTCCCTTCAGGACATGAACGATTGTAGCTTTCTAAAAGTTCCTATTCCCTGTTGCCCTTAGCAGCTTTTTCTCCCTTTGTAGGGCGCATAATTAGGGCCTGGAAATTTCGATACTTACATGATAGATTGAAGGCAAGATGGGACAGACGAACAACAACGAATTACCTACTTAACGAATAAATGGATGGCGGAACAGTGTTTAGGAGAGATAAGAAAAAGACAACATTTATTAAGAGCTACAAAAGAGAGGAAATTGTGGAGAGCCATGATCGCCTATGTCCTGAAGAGACACGGCACAAAGAAGAAGAATGAGCCTGGGTAAATGGATGGCGAAAGAGGGTTTAGGAGAGATAAGAAAAAGACAACATTTATTAAGATCTACAAAGTAACAAAAGACTGGAAATTGTGGAGAGCCATGATCATCTTCGCCCTGAATGGACACGGCACATAGAAGAAGAAGAATGAGCTTATTTTATTACTAATAAATTATTACATTTTACCAGTTACTTTTTTTTTTACCTAGCCAAAATTATAGCTTTTTATTTTCCGTTCACGTGATCAACACTCGTTCCAAAATACAAATAACTCTATGAGATTAACCGAGTTCGCCTGTAAAAGATGTAAGGTTGTCTCGGGACACAATGAGTTTGGTGTGAATCTGACCTGCTGTCAAAAGCCGCAGTAACCTTTGTGTTGAAATATTTGTTTATTTGAAAGTTTCCAACTTTTTCATTGGAAATAAACATTTCACTGCGATGGATCAAGTATATAATTCTTCATGTAATCAATGTTTTACATAGAGCATAAAAAAAATAAACCTCTTTCCATCTGATGCTCGAATTCGGCTTTGTTAACTTGACTTTCTACATATTATTCTTTGTAACTTATTTATTTTCGAGAGTTGTTTCGTATATATGTCCTTTTAATTACAACCGCAGTTCTGCCGATGTTTCAAATCCTTTTCTTAATCTTAACAAGAGAATCGTTTTTTTGAGATTTAACAAAGGAAAGATAAAACAGAATTGTTAATTCCACACTTAGCAACGAAACTTTTGTGTCAAGGCATCAAAGAAATATGCAATTTTTTTTAGTGTTATCCTGGACACAGTGTCAATCCCCTTGTCTTCTTAACTATTTCCAAACGCTTTTTGGGGAATGTTTCTTTCAGTTTGCCTAATTGGGTGTAGTACTTATTCAAATCGGTTGTTTGGTTCTCTGGAAGGAGTTTATAGAGGCAAACTACCAATCCCGCTATATACACAGAATTACCTCCCTTGGAATTTCTTTTGTTTCCCCACTCAATCTTTTGTGCCCCACGTTGTTCTAATATCCGATTTTCATTTAATACATGTTGATATGAAAGATGTCATAAAACAATTAAGCGATCATTAACTTAAATTGGTTAAAACTAAACACTTCTAATGCTATATAATAACAAAAATAGAACAAACCTTTTGGATAACTTAAAATACTTTTCTTATACATATTAATTCCTTATAACGTATATAGTTGTGTATCGTGTGAGTTTTTAATATCAGTTTTTTTTTTAGCAAGAATAGAAGAGTGCTCTATATACAAGTAATTTTTTTTGAGGCGGTTAAACATGCATTTTTGGTGACCGGTTGCACTATACACAGGTAAATTTTTTTCTGGAGGTGTTAAAATTCATTCCAAAAATTTCAGGGGTTGCACTATACATGAAATCGGATTATACACTAGTATGTACGGTATATAACCTCATTAGATTTATAGTAGAAGAATGCCTTATTTTTTTAAAAGTGGGTGACGTGTTATTGAGAGAGAAAGTAGGTTCTAATGTTGAACCCATAAAAATCTTTTAAAATGTTCCTTTATTTTAAGAATTTGACTATTCAGTTGGGACATTTCCAGTTATATTTATATAAACTCCTACACATAAATGTGCTTTTAAGACATGTACCCAGGATTAGTCATTCTTTACCTATGCTAAATTTGACCTTTCTTTCTTTCTATTTATTTTGTCCTCAATTCTTTCCACATTTTTCCTTCAGTCAGAGAAACCAATATACCTGGCAGTTAAAGGGGTTGTGTTTGATGTAACAAGTGGCAAAAGTGAGTATTCTTTTTCAAATAATTATTTTTTTTGCACATTATTTTATTTACATTATTCGGACTATTCTCCTCATCTTTGTCGCCATATTTATTACAACGTTTCGGCCGTGTACGCTCCGGCCTTCTTCAGGCGGTTGGAATGTCGAACTGAACCCTTTATTTCGCTCACTGGGGTAGACTGTTCTAGTTCCATGTGCCATGATCAGTTATCTCCTGAAAGTTCTCAACTGCCTTAGCCGGGTATTGAACTCACACTCTTTGGGTTCTGTCACTTTATCCACTGTGCCATATGTCCTCAACAACTTTTTTTATTAACTTTATACAATATTGTAACAATATCATTTTTTATTACTCGATAATAAAACTGTTATGTGCTACAAATTCTTGTGGCTAATGCCGGAATATTATACAATATTAACTGGAAAACTTCGAAATTTTTGAGGCTTATTTTATTAAAATACAATTCAAATCTGAATATGATCTTCAAAGTAATCTGATAGTGAATGTATTTAGTAATTAATACGTTTTGCCCAGAAAATAACTTTGCTTGAATATTGTCTTCTATATTATCTCATCTTAATGCATAAATATTATAATGCTAACATTTAAAAAAAAAAAAACTGAATTAAAAAAAATAAAATTACTGTTTTTTTTCATAACTATTAAGATCTTTGGTTTTGATAATGACTTAACACAGAGGTCAGCAACCTGTGGCATGCGGCACACCAAGCAATTTCCAATGGCACGCAGTCGTAAATGACATCACGAAGTCCGAAACAGTTACTACAATGCAAAGAAGATGTTTAGCTGTTTTAATTTTAATATATATTAAAGTACGTTGGAGTAATGGATAGCGGCTCGGATAGAGGAATCGGAGTTCGAATTCCAGTCGAATCCATTACATTCACTTACGTGCTAATACCCTTGAGAAATATATGAATTCTCTTCTTCTTCCCCCAGCTATGGGTAAATAGCAGGACAGACCAGGTTCTATAGCCTTGGATGGCAACTGGTCCACCGCAGAAAGAAATAGCAACCTACCGCGGGAAAAAATCTGCCTCGTCAGTCATGTATCGAAAGATACATGATCGCTTAAGCGTGTATCACGAATGGGACATAACTGACTGATATATACTATATATTACTATATAAAATATATTGTAGAACAGGTATATTGACCTTGACTTTTATAAAAATACGTATGCTGTTGGCACACTGAATGATTTTAAAACCCTAAGTCAGTACATAGCAAAAGGTTGCCGACTTCCGGCTAACTAACTATAATCGAAAAGCAGTCCTCAAATATTCATGAACAATTCTTGTATACACTATTCATTGACCGGCATTAAAACCAAATGATTAATAACACATTTTCTATAGTTTTTAATCATGCTTGCATTAATATATTTTACTAGAAACACCCGTGAGAATTTCACGATTTTCCTATTTGAATTTTCTGATGAATCTTAACTCTTAAGTTGATGATTGAATAAGCTCACGGCGAGTTCTACGACAATAAAATATCTGTAGAAATTCCCCTATCGTATCGTTAAATATTTGAGCTTAATAAATATGAATTAAAGATTAATTAAAGAAGTAAGGGGCGTACAAATGAAATTATTTGCTATTCACAACTTTTCCATTTCACTGAACAGACGTTAAAAACATGAGTGTCATATCCTCTTCTATTTTACCTTCTTTCTTCCTTTCATTTTCTCACTGAAACCAAGTAGCGTCTTTGATAAATCTTTTCCTTCTTTCCATGCGATCAAAACAGAATAGTTCATTATTTTTAGGTATTGACAGGGCTTAATGTACGCGCTAACTAAAGAACCAACAAACAGTGTTATAAGATGTTAACATCATATTGTCATATATAACAGATCAATATATATATATATATATATATATATATATATATATATATATAGTAATTATTAGGAGGATTTGATAATTATATCTAATTAAGTCATCGCGTCTGATAGAAACCTCAACAGAATGCAGAAAGCACTGGACGTCCGTTTCGTCCTATATTTGGGACTCATCAGCAGAATTGAAACCCTGACAGTTAGGTTGTCAAGCAAACATCATACCAGCTGTTCCAATGGGCCTCGGTGCAAATCAGACTCAGTATAGCGACGTCCAGTTATTTTTTATAAAAAAAAATTTATAACATAAATAATATGTTATAAAATCACTACAAAAATAGCCATTTTGTTTCAACACCCTCGGTGTCTTATCAAATGATGATGTTGAATATAAAATAAATGGTTTTAAAAGTTCCAAATTAATTAACGATCCTTCGCTAGGGGAAAACATTGTTACAAAAGCTAGAATGACCAATCAAAACCCACTTATAGGAAAATTCAAAAGCTTGACAACGAAATTATGTTATAATAGCTATTCAGATCTTTAAAATACGGGTAATATTAAAAATAATTTATTCTAACCAATAATTATTAAATTATATGATAAAATTTGATATTAAAATTAAAAACTGCCAATTTTAAAATCCAAATTTAATCACAGTTAAGTTTAAAATGGCTTTTTTTTTTTTTGTAGTGATTTTATAACATATTTATGTTATATAAATTATTTTTTATAAAAAAAATATTATATATATATATATATATATATATATATATATATATAATTTTGCAGTGACTTGTGAAGAAAAAAAGTTAACGGTAGGATTCAAATGAATATCTTACAAACCCGTTTATCCATTTTTTTGATCCGTTAGATTTATAGATGAATAATAATAAGAGACATTACCAAATTTGCTTTTGTCTTCCCGGACCTTTCCTCTGGACGGACGAGCCAGTCAAGATACTCGGCGTTTGGTTAGGTCCCGATCTCTTGTTGGAAATGAATTGGTCTGAGGTGCAGAAAAAAAGCTGAGGTCACAGTTTGATTGTGGTCTCGGAGGAATGTTTCCCTAAAGGGGAGGGCGGAAGTATGTGCCTCGCACATCCACCCGTTTCTTTTTTATCGACTCTCCGTATCGCTATCAGACCCCCACCTCTAACTAGCACGTGATATAATGCCTTTATCGACTCTCCGTACTTCCACCTCTTTGTACCATACTGATGACATTAGTAAGGGTCTTGTTCTACTTCTTGTGGGGAGACAAGTCCCCCAAGGTATGTTAAGTGATCTGTCACCTCCACCCGTCTGAAGGCGGTCTGGGTGTGCCTAACGTTGACATTCGTCAACATGCGCTTCGCATTTCTTTCCTAGACCGGATGTGTTTGCAATTGGGCGAGAATGGCGAATTCTGGAAGGAGGACAACCGTAAGAACTTTTTACCCATGAGAAGTGTGCACTCGTCTGAGGAAGAGGCCTGCTGTTTACCTCGAGGCGAGTCCTCCTTTCTATCGTGAATGTTGTATTGCTGTCAAGTTCCTTTTACGGTCGACGGATGAACCCCTCCCTCACCCCGACGTCTAGGCGTTGTCCCGTAAGGCATTATATCACGTGCTAGTTAGGGGTGGGGGTCTGATAGACGAGCTCGGTCTGACGAAGCAGGAGATTGGGCTCTATATGGCTTTGGGCCCCCGGATTGAAATGCCTCACTAATTATGAGGCATTACTCACCTGGATGGTGATTCGAAGAGTGATTTTTTTTATTTTTTCGGCGTTCGCTGAGGTGAGTCGATGGAGACCTTCGATCACGACTTGTTCCACTCCGGGGTCTTAGGCCCGTTATGCAAGTTTGTTGAGGATAACATGGTTCGCATGCTGCGCGGAAAGTTCCGTTTGTTCCGTTTGTAGTAATGTCGTACCGCCGTTGACTAAGGCTGAGCATTATGTGTTCTTTTACTTACGAGGTGCTATGCAAGCCGTGATTTGGACGACACGACAAAAGGAATTCTATGAGGATAAGAAGTTTACCTCTTCCCAACTAATCGTTCTTTAGGCATCAGCTTAAAGTCAAGATTAGGACGAAAAGGAAACGACTTCATCCATCAGAATTTGGCGAAAGGTGGGTGAGTCTTGCGCGTCTGTGCTGAATAAAATGTGCTGACTTAGAGTGGCATTTTGATGCCGGTTAGGCATTAAGGATATCGGCAATTCTGCTTTGAACATTAGCAACCCTGCCCGAAATAGGCTAGTTTAGGCTGGTTTTGATTTTTTCTGCCAAAGTTAACTTAGCTAAGGGATGTATGCTCATTGTCCCATTTTTATTTTTGTCCTCAAGGACACATGGCACAGTAGACAAAGGTGACAGGACCAAAAGAGTGTGAGTTCAATACCTGATTAAGTCGGTGAAGAACTTGGAGTGTGGAATTAACAGGAGATAACTGACATCCATTAGACATGGTACGTGGAACTAGAACTGTCTACCCCAGCGAGCGAAATAAAAGGTTCAGTTCGACATTCCAACCACCTGAAGAAGGGCGGGGGGTACAACGGCCGAAACGTTGTGATAAATATGGCAACAAAGATGAGGACAATAGTCCGAATAATGTAAATATTGTCCTTTCTTTAGTTTAATTTCCCCTCCCCTTCGTTAGGTGATTAGAGATGTCAGTTCTCTGGTGGATGCGGGACGCCCTTCGCTTTTTGAGTGTGTTTTTCGTTTTTGCTGTTGTGTTTGGATGAGTGTGTGTTTGAGTGAATGATTGTTTGCATTCTCTAAATTAATTTCGTCCAGTTAACTGATGTTTCTGTCAAATTTAAAGACTGTTGGGGAGGTGGGTATTACTAACACTGTTTTGTTTTGTTTCAGTAGATAATTTTGTTTTCATTGTAAATATCCACTGGGGTAAAATTTTTAAAAGTTGTTATTTTATTCCCCACCTCCTACCCCCGACAAATTGTACCTATGCAGACTAGTTAGGACTTCATAGAGTCACTGAGGTATTATGGTGAATGTAGTAAGAATGGTATGTATTGTTTTGGTGCAAGGATTATTGTGGTATGAGTCTGATTGTGGGTAGCTAAGTTTACGACAGATGAAGACCAGCCCTCTCCATCCCCATTTTTGGCTATGTATTACATTTGTACATATTCGTAGAATAAATATTAGTACAAACAAACTCCTTTTTCAAAATTCCGTTTATCCGTGTTTATGGGGAGTGGCTTTTTATTAATAGATCAAACCTTCCTTCTTCTAATTCCAGAATTCTATGGCAAGAATTCTGTCTACAATGCTTTGGTAGGTAAAGACGCTACACGCGCAATTGCCAAGATGAATTTAGATGAGGAGGACTTGAAGAGAGAACATGACATTGTAAGTCTTTTTCTTTCTTTTTTTTTATCTTTTATCGTCTTTTTAGCAGCAATGATGCAAGATTAAAACAAATCTACTCAATTCTCATTTGGACCAAAGTGAATGCTTTTAGTTCAAGTTGATAAACAAAGCAAAATTTGACAAAAGCACCAGCACCCCTCGCACCCCCCTAAAAAACAAACAAAAAAACCCCATAAAAAACGGCTTGTCAAAGGGACGGTTTTTCTCTTGACACCGTTATTACTGTAATACTTCTTCGGTAATTTTTATTGTTTTCAAAACGTATTTTCAGAATTTTAATAAAACCCAAACATATTAAACTGGATTTACACATTTTTTTTCGAGAGATGACAACAAACATGTTAAATACTATTTATTACAGTATTTATATACAAGACTAATTTTATATTTACAAGATGAAATATATGTAAATCAAATATAATGCAATATTATAAAAAAATAACTGAGAATATTTCTTATCCAAAAAATTTATAAAAATTTCTCAACAAAAAGAACAAGAATATTTAAACAAACACATAACTACGAGTAATTATAAATTTATGATATTTTTCGGGCATTTCTTTCAAAAGCTCTTGCTGCATAAATTCACTAAAATATGTGAGCAGGGTCGGTGCGTACTAACAACACCCCCACCGACTAGGGATGGGGATGCAAGACTATTGGGGGCTCTCCTGGAAGGGCGAGTTTCAGCAGTGCTTTGTGGCCCACCGCCATTTTATCAACATTAACTATTTTTTTTTTACTTATGTTACATTGTCAATCATCAACTATAATAATATTCATCGTGTATCTGTTTATAGGGATTTAGTTTTTATGTATAACCACGATTCCATGAACATTAATATCACATGTAATTGTTTGTTATAAACTTTTTTTTCCAACCGATTTTTAAAATTCACAAAAATCGTCTAATTACCGGATTTTTATAAAGTCTTCGGTACTTATGTAATAAAATACGAACATTCTTTGAAGATAAGTTTATAGTTACTATTTTCAAGGTAACGTGTTTTTTTTTTCTTATTTCGACTACCACATTAAGGAACGTCTTTAAGTTATAATAGGTAACAATATTTTTTCTTTTTAAAGATAATTGAATTTACGTTTCAATTACGTATTTTTTTTTTAGAAATTGGTATTTGATTGTAAAGCATATTTTATACATTGGTACACTTTAAAAACGGGGAATTAAAGTAGATAATAGTCATTCTTGTATTTTTATTAATATCGACTGTCGAAATTCACGCTGAAATAAACTGCAGTGTCACCTACCTAATGTTATTTAAGATCAGTTAATAACAGACGCGTGTAAATAAAGGGTTTTTGTTAATCTTAATATTCGTGTTACCATAAAATGTAGAAACTGTAAAATATACTTTACTTCATTAGCTTAATTATTGTGCTGATAAAATAAAATATAAAAAATACTATTAATTTAAAGTCAGTCGTTATTTCATCAACGTTAAACATAGATAATAGCTACAGCACCAAAAGAACCATAAAATCTTTACGTTGACAGAAATATTAGTCAGTTATCCAACGCAACGTAAAACGACTGTGAGCAAGTAGCGAATACATTTGCTCATGCTAAATCTCAAAAAGACACTATGTAAAATTATCTATATTTTATTCATATATTCATGTGTTAATAATCTACGGACAAAGAGACCTTGGGCTATACTCGATAAGTTCAGTACTTATGACATATTCTCCTGCAATTTTACTGTTTTTATGAAAGTTGTCAATCCCCAACGCTGTTGAAGGTAGACACAAGTTATCTCCTTGGTCGTCATATAGAAAGTTTTGTAATGGGAGAATTGAATTTTGTGAGCAAAGATGTTAGAATGTCACTTGTCGTTGAGGGGTAATCCTCATGGGTATTTCTTAGGAAAAACACAGGAGTTGGTCCGTGTCACTAAAACTACCCGAGAGCAGATATCGCCCCAAGGACAGCGACGAAAAGCGAATTTACATGAACAGAAACTTAACTTTTATAAAGAAATTGTAAGTGGTGTATTTATTTTTAGACTGTTACAGTATTCGAATTTTATCAAGAAAAATCTCATGACGTTAAAAATTGCCGCAAAACATTGTTGATTTATTTAACATGGAAAAATCCATTATGGCTTGTTTCTAACTTATATTTAGATATATTGCATTTATTTTCAATTTTTCTAGTTAAATTGTTCACATATATAAGATAGTATTATACATAATTAGGTTACAAAAAAAAAATGTATTTCATACAAATAATACTTTATGAAAATTGAAATGTAATAGAGACGGCCTCATATCATAAATTCGGGAGGGTCATCAGACTCTATTACTAACACTAGTTCCGAGCGAGTATCTGAGTTTATAAATTTTTTATCCTCGAGAACTAAAAAAAAAAGAAATAAAGAAAGGGAAATGTTATTTATTTAGTTATTTATTAAATTGTTTATTTACAAGAATAATTTGGTAAAGTTTAACAAACGTAGCCGCAAAATGGAGTATACAATAGCAGTCTCATGAGAAAAGCTGTTCTTTTAATAATCTGTGTTTGTTTTTGTTTTTTTATCGGGTATGTTTTTTAAATTTCGTCGAATATCATTTTTCACTGACTTTTCTTACACACACACACACACACACATATATATACAAGAAGATTCATATTTTTACCATGAAGAATCTATATTAAGCAGTACTTATATCGTCTACGATTTATTTTCCCCTTAATATGCGCAAACAATAAATTCGTACGTTGAACGTATATCTACCAACATATCCCATTTGTCTAATCAAAATGCATCCATATATTAATAAACATATTGATAGGCGATGGTGTGTATGTTTCCATAAGCAAATAAGCGTTAATAACAGGTGTATATGTTAATGTGAAGCGAGAGAGAAAAAGAAAACAAAAAAACTAGAAGGAAATAATGTCTTCAGTTTGAGAATTGAGATTTTCAATGTATTTAAGAACTGACAGATTCAACCGAGTGAAGATTTTTCATTTTTATGTTTGTATTAAGTTACCGTGAAATCGTTGTGGATATATTGAGTTCGGTTACCGCCAGATTTTATAAATACACCACACACACACACACACACACACACACACACACACGAGAGAGAGAGAGAGAGAAAATGAGAATGTATGTTTGTTGAGAGTAACTCCAACCGCTGTTTATAACTTGGAATCTGATCGTATGATTAAAGATCAAATTAGATTTTAGGAGAGTCAAGGCCATAGAAAAATATATATTCAGATAATTCTTTAAAGGTTTTCTAATTTCTTATAATACAAATACAATGTAGACCAATGACTCCCAACGTAGGATCGCATGCCCCACCAATGGGACATGGTAATATTTTGGTGGAGCATGCGTAGGATGTACACCCTTCAGCTTACTATACCAATGTGAGCTCAAATTTCATTTTGCATTATTATTTCATGATTAAAATCATCAAAGTATATTACAGAATAAGCTTTTATTTAAATATTTTATATTTCTGCCTTTCAGTTCTTTATTATGTTTTGAAACTATATATATTTAACTGTCTTTTTGTTTTTTGTTTTTTTAAATTTTTCTCTTTCATGGGCGTCATGTTCTTTGGAGGCTTGTTTAGAGACCAAGTTAATGGCCTTTTAAGCTTCTTTCACGTGAATTGCAGTAAAATATATCTAAACTCTTGTGAACAATATTTGGGATTTCAACCATAGTGAAAAGTTTTGTCTGACCATCTCTCTGTTAGTAGTAATTCTTTGATAGCTACTTAAATGTTTTATCCATTTGACATTCAGATAGTTTTCATCTGAGACAATCTTACTTGATTGGTCTTTTTGTTTTTAACTTTTCTCTTTCATGGACGCCATGTTCTTTGGAGACTTGTTTAGAGACCAAGTTAATGGCCTTTAAGCTTCTTTCACGTGAATTGCAGTAAAATTTTGAATATGTAAGAATTAAATATTACGGTGGGGGGGGGGCACCAGAATTTTAAAAATAGCAAAGTGGGGCATAGGCCAAAATCGGTTGGGTACCACTGATTTAGACTATATTTTTTTATTATTATCCACCCAATACAGGGCCTAAGTGACACTCACCATAGAGACTTATTAAATGGGGATGTTGTAAAGGCATATAAAGAAGCAGCAAGGATTGTATATTATGAGGATATGTAGGATAGATAACTGATATCACGCACTTTTAACGATATTAGTTTTATTAACCGTATATATTGTTATTGGATGCATTATTATTCATAGACAATCTGATAGGACAAGGATTCATTGTAATTAAATCCTTTTTGTTTTGTTAATTGTTTAATGCGAATTTGTCTCGTACAAATGAAAATTGGGACAAATTTATCACTTAAAGCAGGGTTTGTTTGTAATATAGACTAAAGGAAATTAAAATTGTACCCCAAGACTAAGCCAGTTTTGATGTGGGTACAGTATGTGTATGCTAGCAAATAGTAGATATTCTGCTAAAAATTTTCAATGTCTTCGGACATCTTGTGACTAAGTAACATTCATAAAAGTGTACTGTTTATGACTGTGCATCACCCGTAGTGTTATGAAAGTTTTTAGTACAATCAATTGTCATGCCATGTAGATGCACATATAATACTTACTTGCATATTCTTTGTAAGCTATAACATTTTAAAATCTGTTTGTTTTTTCTTTCGGTAATCGCTTACTAATTTAGTACAAACATCTCCTTAGATTGTAATATTTGCGTTAATTTCAACAAAATTCTTCAAAAGTTGCGTTCTGCACTGTTTGACAGTTTCGTCTGTTTACCACGCCCAGGTTTATTTGCGATAATATTTCCTCTTTGGAATTTTAGAATGATGTTCCGAAATAATCCGAGGGTGGCTGAAATGACCATGTTAGATTCTTCTGGAATTATTAAAATTTATTATTTAATATTCATAATTTATACAAGAAAATGATCATAATCATTGTGGACCCTCAATTTGTTATATTTTGTATATGGACCCCCAGAAATATTACATAGACCCCTATGGGCCCATGTTGACCCCGTCTGAGAACCCTTGCTCTAAACGTTATTTTTATTCGGTACGCGTCTTAGAGTTATTATCCTGTCTTCTTTTTTCCTGAAACAGTCAAATTGATAACAATGAGCCTAGAGACCATTTTCATACGGCAAAATTCAAATGACCTATTTAATTACTGTGGTTTATGTTTTGGATACATAGAAGTCCCAACGAAAAATATGCTTTTTCTTAAAAAGGTAATTTGAACCTTGTCCTCTCAAGATGATCGCTCGTAGACAACTTGATAACAGTACGTTTCGGCTAGAGAAGTTGTTTCCATAATGGAAAAGGGATATCGGTTTGGTTCTTGACGAAAGGCATGATTTTTGTTTAGTAAGACTTCACAAACTACACGGGTTCTTATTAATTTCACTGTTTAAGAAAATAAAGACAAAGAAAACTCAAATACGTATAACTACTAAAAATGATAGTAATAAGCTTATTAAATATACATTGTAGAAACTTATTCTTGCGTCTGTATCCGTTTAACAGTTCCTCAACTAAAAGAAAAATTCAATTGAAATCATATTTAAAATTTTATTCTCCATAAACTAAAAAAAGTAACACAGTGTGATTAACTTCAGTCAGTAGTGTATATATATATATATATATATATATATATATATATATATATATATATATTACTTGACAGCCTAGGCGCGCATGTGTTCAATTGTAAGGTCATTTTTGCCACATGAGGATAAAATCTATTCCGCAGTCATAGCATGTGAACCCACATCCATATTAAAGTTAAGTTTGACATGGATTTAGGGTCACATGGTATGACTGTGGAATAGATTTTATCTTCACGTGACAAAAATGACCTTCCAATTTAAATACATTTAACACATGCGCGGCAAGACTAAAACAAATGTTATTGATAGTGGGTTTTTATCCTTTGACGTGAAGAGTTTCTAGAATTTGTAATCGTTTTTTTTTTTTTTTTTAATTTTTTTCAGTTGGATTAGAATACTGATTGTTAACCAGGATCTGACTGAACTTAGATGGAGCCTCCTGAATTTGTGTTATGTGTTTTCATATGGTAATTGATATAACCGGTTAATCATTTCAAGAGAAATCTTCTGATCATTGACCTGTCATCTCTGAGCAAAGTAATATATGTAAACATATAACAAATCCACGGCGCCCTTTCTTATTTCTGTCAGATTTTGGTCGACAGCGTAACAGTACAGTACTTTGAATAGAAGTGAAAGTAAAAAGATTAAAAATTCTGGAAGCCCGTCATACCAAAGGACGGCAACCTATTATCGATAAAATTTTTAATTTGTTTCACCTATACATATATTGTATTATATAAATTCTGTTTATGTTATCTGTTGCAGGAAGGCTTAGAAGACAAATATCTGCAAGACCTTGATAAAATATTTAATGATGTTTACATGGCTAAGTACCCAGTAGTGGGGTACATGGATTATCTTCTCTCAGTGAACAAATTTATTAACAAGGTGAGAATCAAAGAAGAATTTTAGTATAAAAGTGCAATTAGAAAGCGATGTCGTTTTGCTTTATTTCTTTCCTTTTTAGCAGTCATCAGAGCAACAAAAAAAAAAAAACATTTTAGAGTTTCTTTCATTTTTTTTCTTACACACAATTATTGTTTCTAATAAAAATGGCCGAAAAACATTAAGATTGGCTTCATTAAAAAGATTTCTGTCTTGTTTTTATTATTATTATTATTATTATTATTATTATTATTATTATTATTATTATTATTATTTGTGTGTGTTATGTTTCCTGCTTTGTATCCTGTAGAGCCGGGTTCAAACTATGGTCCTTAAGCCCTATAGGAAAATTGACATTTAATTGATAGCACTGTTCTTAGTATATGGGATGTTCCGAGTAGGGCGATCTTCTGAGCAACTTGTATGTTGATGTTACCTGGGACACTGTTAGTAAAATTGTCCATTCCTTTTTTTTCACGAGGCCCAGAACTCCGATTACTATTGGTACAGTCTCAGTCTTCATTCCCCACATCCTGTTAATCTCGATCTCTAGGTCCTTGTATTTGGACAATTTATCGATAATGTTCATGGAGGTGTTTATTGAGTTTTCTCAGATAATATCAGGTCTGTTGGCTTTTATTTTGTCAGTTTACTTGGCAGATGTTTTAAGATTATTAGGTGATTCATTTTGCCATTCTGCTGTTCAATAGGCAGCTGAGTGTCGCTAATCCAAAGCAGAAGAGTAGTGGTGACAATGAATCTCCTTTGAAGATCCCGCTTTTGATGTTGATTGGTCTCAATGTTAATGACCCGTTTGTATGGTTTAAGTTTAGTGTAGTCTTCCAGTTTTTCATGCTCTCCGTTATGAATTTGACCGTTATGGGTCATACTCTGCATATTTTTATTCTCTATCTATGAGTATGGTACACTATCGAACATCTTTCTGTCGATTATCCATAAGTTTCTTTTTCTTGTTTTCACCTCTTCCAATTTTGTTTTATTGATAATTAGTTGGTCTTTGCACCCGTAATTTCCTCTTTTACATCCCTTCTGTTCTGCTGTGAGGAAATTGTTTTTTCTCAAGGAAGTTGTATGTCCACTCGGTTATGATAGAAGTGAGGATCGTGTACATTGTTGGTAGGCAGGTGATGGGCCTATAGTTATTCGGGTCCTGCGTCTCTTCTGTTTTTTGAAGTAGGCGTGTTACTCTCCACATGAGACATTTAGGTCATTTTTCTGGGTCTATGATTATATCATTGTATGTGTTATAGAGTAGTTACACAGTGGAGGCTTGTATTTCACTAAGTCGGACCTAAAAAGGTTCGACGTACAAAACGTTAGGAACTTGATATAACAGTTAATGACGCAGCAATCTAGTTGTGATGGCTGATACTTTAATGTCCGACATCGACTGACTCACCAACTCACTGAGCTACCCCGCGCCTGCTACTACTACTACTACTTATTATAGGTGGGAGAGTCTATTAACAATAGAATAGGTATGTTCCAGTATAACATTATGCCAGTGCGAAGTTTTGGTGGATGCTAGATAGGTTTATTTATCCAAAAAATGGCTCTTCGGTTTATTCCTGGTTATTATTATCATTATTATAAAAATTATCAAAACCACAAAATTAGAGCAAGTCCATGTGAGTTAACTATTTTCATGTGCTCTATGAATATGGTTTTGAAAAATGATTGTTCCTTTTTTTGTGACCCGACTGCGCATGCGCTATGGAGTTAAAGAAAAATGTCCGTATGCTCAGGACTTACACATACACCAAAAATTTCTACTTATATGAATTCTGCTATGATTTTTTAAAAAGTATTTTATTTATTTATTTGGATAATACCAATTTCGGTATAATACATCAGTTGTAGAGCTTGACCATTGTAAGACGCCACAAAATAAAAATTGCCGGGACAGAGGACTAAATTTAATGCAAACTTCTATATATGCCCACATCATAGTTATCTGACAAAAAAACTAACGTTACACATCAATGTAAATTTTCATCTTTACTCTGAGCTTCAAAAAAAGGTAAAAAGGTTTTTCCCATGTTTGTGCTAAAATTTGTGCTAAGTGGTTCCTTTGAGTTTTACATAAATGTTTTAGGGACTAATGTTTTTTTTAAAAAAAACAAAAAAACAAAACAAAAAAAAACAAACAAACAAAAAACGAGAAAAAAGAACGAATAAAAAGTTATATTATTTATTTTGAAAATTAACGGCAGTAATATTTTTACATACAGATCAATAACTTTGTTTGAAATTGAGGCAAAGAATATAAATTTAGTTTTCTATTTCTCTCTTCCATCAAAATGTGTGTGTGGGTGGGGAGTGATAGGGGGGAAGTGGCAGAGGGGGGATTTAAAAACTCCCGGTGATGTTTATCGTGGATAGTCTTTGAAGAATGAGCTGGCTATATTGATAATGAATATCAGGCAGATAAGTGCATCGACCTTCTTCCACTATCTAATCCGATAAAATATAAAAATAACCCAAAATTGTTTTTGTTTTGACTTTTGCAACTGTTACAACCAATTAAAATCATCAGATATTACGATTGCAATGTACTTTGACATGTTTCCACTTTGAAATTTTTTTTTTCATCAGTAAAATATTTAATTTTTAAGGAAACAAAATTGTTAGAGAACAATGATTATTGAGAGAGACGACTGTCAAACCCAATCAGGAGATTAATATCGGAAAAAAAAAGTTTGAAAGCACGTCTCTTCATAGCCGTTGGGGATCATAGCACTCCACTGATATATTTTCGTTACTATCTGGGAGTTGATATTATTTGAGTGTTAGGGGAGGGGGAGTCGTGTTTTCTCGTTTTTGAATTCAGGACTGGCTGACACTCAAGGCTGGAAATCTCCGTCTAATCTACTATTTAACCCATAGCTGGGAAGAGAAGGGAGGGATTCACGGCTTTCCCAAATGGTTTTAGTGCAAAAGTGAACAGTATAGACTAGGTCAGAATTTGAACGCGGCTCTCCGATTCCATTTTCCGCGCCCGTAACAGTTACGCACCTCTTCGGGTATATGTAGGCAACCCGTTTATATCGCGGGATAATGGCAGCGCCCTGTTTAGTCAAAATTCAGTCCGCCTTTGAGCAGCGTCCAGAATGGCTTAGCAGTTTCTTCTGCAGGCGTGACAGATGAAGCAGGAATAGGGAATGAAAATCTGAAATCGCTCTTCCTTTGTTGGAAAATGCTGTCTCATGTGTTGTACTCTTGCCGGGTGGTGAGACTGGAGTGATCTCTCCAGGGCGCAGAAAGATGGCAGAAAAAGGCTGTGTGCTGCCCAGACGACATGGCCTCCTTCTCGACCATATCGAGAAGATCCAAAGGAATCTTGCAGATATACTATTCTTTCTAATTATGAAATATAACAACGGCAATATCCCCTGCGTAAGGGATAAATACTTTACGAATAAGGGTCTTGAAAATAAGCCTTTTTATTTTTTTTAAATAATGCTTTATCGCGATGGTTTTGAAGAAGAGTTGACTTTACGCGCCTCTTTTTATTGTTCATCACCAGCGGCCATGTTTTAGACATTTCATCGTTGTCTGAGTGAAGAGCTTTAACCATGTTCTGAGGAATCAGATAGAAATACAGTATAAAATAATTTCCCCATTTTAATTTCAGTGAAGATCTGCGGAGACTAGACAATTTTTGTCTCCATCTACACGCTTACGTAGCGACCCTCAGATATTCGACCCCTTGTGTGTGGCAGATAAATAAAAAACAAAATATACAAATTAAGGAAGAAAAAGACAACACAGACAAAATAGAATAGAGACAACGCGTTTATAGGAAAGAGCGTAAAAGAATTATCACAGACGTCATGCAAAAAGAAAAGAATCTCATTAAAGTCAGCGCAAGAAATAATATTACACAATTTATTATTACACATAATTAAGGATAGTAATGAACATCAATGAGGCAAGCGCCGTAGATGGGAAAGGGATGAATCCATCTCCGCGCCTCCAGCGATAGGTTAAATTGACAGGGAAGACGGTACTCTCTAACTTTAGGTGACAACCGATTAAAAAGGGCAACTGCGAATTTAAAAACATGGAGAAGGTAAAGAGGAAACTCCTTCATCCCCCACCCCAAAAGAATAACCACGGAAATGCAGTTAACAAAGACTTAAAAAAAAACAAAAAAAAAACGGAAGCTGTGGAGAGTAAATGACTGCCTGTATCTTGGAAGCGGAGTCATGAAAAAAAAAAAACTTAATGTTATTATACAACGACTTCATTTATGCGGCAACGGCTGGCAAGCGAATTTACGAGCAATGGCTTTCGAGATTAGCTTTCTAATTATCATTTTAGGGTAGGCACCCTGTGTTGACGTTTACTGGAGCAAACTAAATTCAACACAAGGCCAGTTTCGGGGAGCACCCAGTGGTGATCTTACTAAAATGTAATGGTATAGGAAACTAATTCTCGTCAGTGTTAGGATATCGAATACTGGTAAACTCGAAAAATTTTAAGGCAAATCTTTAATCTTCGTTTCCACAAAATGGAGTGTCAAAAGGACGGTTTTTCCCTTGACACCGCTATTATTTTAACTACTTTCACTCCTTGGCAATGTTTATTGTTTTAAAAAGCGATGATTAGAATTGTAATAAAACCTAAATATATAATGAAAGTGAATTTATACATTTTTAAAAAAAATCTTTTGACGCTTCGTCTTTTTGTAGTCACGAAGGTTAAAGAATGCTAATTTTTTACGTTTTTTTTTTTCTTTAAAATAATGAAAAAGTTGAGTTGCGAGTTTATAATTCCCGAGTAATCACTAAATTTATGTACTTGTAAAATCTGCAATGGCAATGTAGTTTAAATATCTTTTCTAGACTTTAATGTTCTGGTGAATTAGAGTCAGCAACATTTATAAATGATTGTAACGATTGAGAATTTGTCGTCAATATTGCATTCACGGAGAACACGAATGCGCATGTGTAAAACTCAAAAAGTAATTAGCAATTGTTTCACGTTTTTATGAAAAATAACGA